GCTGAAGCTCAAAATGTTGCATAGTGGTCCACAGTAGCAACTCACTGGAGTCCAGCTGGGTATTGTGTTTTTGGAGCCTGGCTTTCAAAGCGTATGCCTTATTTTTAGAATAAGTGTTTGGGTGGCACTTTTATGTTAGCTTTCAGAATTGTCATTGACTTCCTTGAGAACAATACCACAATGCTGTCTTGCACACAGAAAAAGCATGATATTCAAAACTTATGGCTTCTTCAAAATGTAGAAATACATAATTATAAATACATAGAGCGTGAGACAGAAATAGATATAAATATGCTTTAAGTACAACCTGTCAATACTTTAACCTTGTAGGACTTAATTCAGTGCAAGTTAGATGGGTGTGGGTGCTGAACAGTCACACGGGGCACTGAATCTGGCTGTAACTTAATTTTTACTTCCCTTTTATTTAAACTTTCTTTGGCAGTGATAGACTTTTTTCTGTGGAATTTGCTACTGCTAATAACCATTTCTGATGTCTCTAAACTTCAGTAAATGTAGCTGGCTTATTACAGTGCAGGTCCTACAACCTTATGACCATTTTCAGCCTTGGCTCTCCAGGTATTGGAGCCTTTCTATAACAAATGCACTGTCCGTTAGGACTAAAATTCCAGAATCTGGGATGTCTATCCCCAATAAATTATGTATGCATCCAGGCTCTAGTGCCTTGCAGCCAAGTGATAATGCTGACTCTTCAGACTGCTTTCTTCAGCATGGTGGGTATGGCTGCAGCTTATCTCAAGGGGAATGTGTGGGAGATGTGAGCAGATACACACGACTTCCAGCCAAGGCTCTTGCGCATCATACCAGGAGAATCACTGAGAAACATGGAATATGGGATCTGTAGTGTTTGTGGACTTAAAAGTACCATTCTTCCAGTCCTGCTGGAAATAGTGTGCCCATTCACTGCTTTTTTTATGATCACATTTTGTGGTTCAGTATCTGTTGCTCAGCAAGTCATCTGGGCCTCTCTCCTTACAGCTTCAGGTGATGAATTCCCATTAAAGAAATGTTATTTCTGCTCTTTTAAACTCTTACTTAATACTACAGTCTACATGCAAGCTTATCCTCTTCTTCCCATGTGATCTTTTTAATCCTTTTTCTGGATACGCCTTTCTAATTTTCTTTGCAAATTTTGGAACATGTTTCTACTTTTGTGCTTTAGCCATTAATTAAAACTTTAAAGACAGAATATTCAATAATCTGTGAGAAACTTTTCTATTCATCTCCCTCCTGCTAGGTAGCTTCCCTGAAAGCAAAAATTATCACAGTTTCTCCTTTAATGAGCTTCTTGCCTTAAAATTAATCTAATATATTATTTTTTTGTGAATCAATTTGCTTTTTTCCCCCTCTGTGTTAATTGCACCAAAATGTTTTGAGTTTTGACAAAGTGCTACATATTCAGTTCTGCTTTCCTATGGCACCACTCAGCATCTTGGTAATTTACCAAAACATTTCACCTGAATTTGGATTTTCATGTTGGGCTTATTAGTTTTTAACTTTAAATAGAGTAATTTTCACTTCAGTGGCATCATCCTATTAGCTTCTTCCTGTTTCATCTACATTTTAAATCATTCACCTGGAAAAAAGAAAAAAAAAAAAAAAAAGAGCAAAATAATTACTTGGGTTTTAGGTCAGCCTATTGTCTATCTCACAACAGTAGGGTGTCCATGCTCTCAAACTTTGTTTGAAGAATTTTTCACTGCTGTGCTTTGCTGCATGAGGTTTGATTAATTCTGACCCGTCTCTCCCCATTTTTGTTTTGTCATCTTGTGATTTTTCTTTGCTATTTCTTTCCTTTTAATTCCTTATTGGAACACTTCTCCCTTTCTAGTTTGAAATGCAATTTCTGAACAGTTTTTTTTACTTAAATTTCATTATTTAAAAATCTGTGCTGCTCAGAGTGATTTGCATAACTGGTTCCTTTAATATCTCAAAGTTCAAGGTGTGATACCTTTTCCAAATCAAAGAATATATTATTGGCACATGAACGCCAACCTACTTTGTTATCATATGAAAACATTTATCTTTATTATTCTTGTTGCCTTCTTCCAGTTACATAATAAATCCCTTTTAAGTTGGAAGGACCAGGACTGTGTGGAGGATTCAAGATAGAATTGCCTTTTTTCAGTGCATAGTACTGTATAGTTTAGGAATATTTTTTTTTTTACTCAGTCATGCAGTTATTAAAACTCAACTATGTCTGCTCTTCTATTTTGGTAAGATCCTGCAGCATGTTCTTTTTTCATTTTCATTTCATCACAGCACTGAATAACCCTGTGGCCTCAGCAAACTCTTTGGAAAGGATACTTTGGGAAATTTTTTTTTTTTTACTCAGTCATGCAGTTATTAAAACTCAACTATGTCTGCTCTTCTATTTTGGTAAGATCCTGCAGCATGTTCTTTTTTCATTTTCATTTCATCACAGCACTGAATAACCCTGTGGCCTCAGCAAACTCTTTGGAAAGGATACTAGATTCCTTCTGAGTATGCTGAACATTTTGAATCTCATTGCATGTCTGCTACTAACTGCATTGACATTGTGAAAATTGACCATTTTCTTTCCTGAATTTTTAATTGGTAACTAATTCAATAAAACCTTCATTTTCCTCCAATAATGTTGGTTTCTTTAAGATTCTTTGATAGCAAATTGTGTCAAATGCTTCCTGGAAATATAGGTAAAGCGTATCAATTGGCATCTCTTACTCCACACGATGCTGCTTTTTTCAGAAATGCAAAAAAAAAGTTGAGGTATAACCTCCAAAAGCTATACTAACTTATTCTTATACTGTATTTATCAGTGTTCACTAATTCTGTTATTATTCAGGTTAATATAGTAAAAATTCAGTGAAAAATTCAAACTAAGTTACACATAGGTCCCAAACTTCTTTTTCTAAAACCTTAAGAAAAGCTTTATTTTTGCTACCTCCTTCCAGTTCAAAGGAGTTTGGGTAATGTTTTTAGTCTCTTAGCTTAATAGTTCAACAACTATATATTTATGTTCTAAAATAACAGTTTGTTGAGTGCTCTCAAATCTCAGGAATGGATTTTAATTTTTTCTGATTTGAAATACCTTCAAATAATCTTAAAAACATAAATCAGAGCTCTTCTGCCTTCTTTTAAAAAAAAATTTCCTAAAGAGACAAGTATCAGTAATACATTACTATGAATTCAGTACCCTATTGTACAGCTCTACAGAATTGTAGAATGCTGACAAATGCAAGCAAACCAACCTTGAGTTTGTATTGTGGGGCTGTCAGGCATAACTAGAGATTGTAAGCTGTTATTTTCCTTGTGAAATTATGATTAATATTTTCATATCTGGCATATAAAGAATGGATATTTTATTTAAGTAAAAAAATAAGTTTCAAATTCACATTAGTTACACTCACAGTTCAAAAATAAATAAAATAATGCTAAAAAAACTTCCAAACATTATTACACAGTTTCTTAGGAGGAAGAAATAATAACATATTTAGCTAGTGCTCTTGCATGCAACAGGGAAGAAAATAATAATAAAGTTAAAAAAAAAAATCCCTCTTGTTAGTCATTGCAGATGCTTTTGCAAACCTGGTAGATAGAAGAAATGCATTTAATATTCAGTGAATGTGTTTTGAACACCTGTGCCAATGTCACCTTATATACTCTGTTCTGACAAAGCTTGTTGGCAATCCTTGTGTGTGGCCTGTTATTATGTGGATGCATTTTTTCCTAACACTGCATATGACAAGTTAGCAATAAAGTTAGTAATAAAAGAAGTTGCAGCTAATCTAAAGAAGAAAAAAAACAGAAAAGCAAAAAACAAACATCCCCAAACCTTTTATTGTCCTTCTTTGTTGTGTAGTAGCTGAGGTCCTAAGTGCTGAGTGTGTAAGAAAAGGTACTAAAGCATTTCTTTCTATACTTTCATGCAATTTGAGTTGTTGGCTACATTTCCATCTGATATAATAAGACTGTCTCTCGACAGAGTATGTTTCTTGTCTCAATAAAGAAATTTGAAGATTAGTGTCAGCATCTGTTATTATGTTATGAAGAATTATTTTATATGATCATGGGAAGAGCTCTTCAAAACAAAATGGAGTTGAAAGAACAGCTTTGAGGATTGGTTAGACAGTATTACAAGATCTGCAGCATTACCTATTACTCTAACCTTACTTGTTTGTATGTGTCAAAAATCTCTGTGAAAGTTTTAAGTGGCTTCTCTCAGTGTGTTCTAGGCATTTTCTCCTCTACGGGAAGAGCCTTCAGTGCCTGCAGTGCTGTTAGTATTTTAGCTGGACAAAGTAGTTGGGTTGATATAATAACTTGTTTCTTCCAAAAGTAGTAATATTTTCTGGCCATGGCACTCATCTGACCCATCTATGAGCTGATTCAGCTCACTTAAGTGTGCAGAAGACAAACCCCATGGGAAGAGGAGGGACAAACTGAACAGATTAATTTAACCATATTGTTCAACTGCCCAACAAGTTGTCTTCCTAGCAGCTCCTCTGCTGAAAACACTTGGAGGTCTTGCACAACAAAATCTGGTCTATTCATTGCCATCCTCGAAGATGCTGCAGGAACAGACCCTAGAAGTACTGAAATACTTGAGACTGGGATGCCCTGATAAGGGCAAATTACTGCTCCAAAATCTCACCTGACTTTGCCAGCATGTAGGAAGAGCTGGATGTGTTCAGACCTCAGTAATTTCCAACACAGCATGCAAGACATTATTATTAAACAGTTCACTTTATGAACAGAGGTGCACTAATGTCACAAAACACTAGAATAAATAAAATTATATAAAAGTAAATAATTTTCTTGGTGGAATTAGTAACTGGATCCTTCTTACTGGAAAACAGACAAGATTTCTGTACTGGAAAGACTGAAGAGGTTTAAACTAATTTTGTATCAGTAGAAAAGTGTCAGGGTTTTCTTTGGTGTCTATTTCACTGCCAGCAATGAAGTTTGTTCCTGAGCTCCAGGCCCTCCTGTCTGCCTTCCTTTCAGTCAGTATCATCATCATCATCATTGGATTTTTCTTCTGAATCATAATTTTCATATTCCTCATCTTCATATTTGAAGGCATCTTCAGCTTCAGGGTCAGACTGACTCTCTTCTTCATTCTTGTGGGACCGGTCAGACAAAGAGTTAGCTCTTGACTTATCACTATCCTCCTTTTTCTCCTGGGAATGGCCTGCCTTTGCTTCCTCTTCATCCTCTTTCTCTTTATGGTGCTGGTTAGAGGCAAGGCTCAACCCAGACTCCCCTGCATGGCAAGGCTGAGGGCTGGCTCTTGCCTCTTCCTCCTCCAGGTCACTGGACTGGCCATCCTGCAGGGAGCTTTTGACACCTTTCCTCTTCTTTCCCTCCTCCTCCAGGTCACTGGACTGGCCATCGGGCAGGGAGCTTTTGACACCTTTCCTCTTCTCTGCCTCCTCCTCCAGGTCACTGGACTGGCCATCCTGCAGGGAGGTATTGACACCTTTCCTCTTCTCTCCCTCCTCCTCCTCCTCCTCACAGGACAGCTCATACTGAGGACTACTGTCAGCTGCTTCCTCAAAAGATTCAATTGCTTTCATTATATCCTTGATGACTCTGAAAAGACAATTTGCATGTGTGATTTTATTTTCATGTAAAATACTTTCCATTAGGTTTTAAAAGGAATATGACCTTCAGGTAGTCTAGGAAAATCCCTGTAGACTTGACTGGGGTGGAACTGGTGAAGGAAAAGGGAAGGGGGGACACTAGAGTCTCCTTCTATGCTAGAAATTCACTCAACAGTATTGCTTCCATATTTCAATTTTGTTCATTTCCCCTTCCTTTTATAATACCACCTAATGGATATTGAAAAGTATTTCTTTATAAGGCTTAAAGATTCACTAAAACTAGTGACTTTTTAACAACCTTCCAGAATCCTCTGGTGAAAGGAATTAAAAATGTTTCTCTTTATTCTTCTTTCATGTGCGTAATGTAATGTATCCGGTGCTGTACCCTGTCTTATGAGATATTTGAGGAAAAACAATTAAAAATATACCAATGCTAATGACATAGAGTCAAATATTTAGCTGGGAAATACTACCCAAAAAAACCCCAACAAAAAAAACCTCACATGAAGAATTGCTTTCTAATTGTTAGGTATGGAGTGGCAAAAAGAAAGGAAAGTAATCTCTACCTTTCTCTGGCATCAGTGACGTTATTAAAATTTTCAGCACTGGAGAACTGTAGCAATTTAGTTGTTTGTCCTTTCTTTGAAATAAACTCTGGGCATATCCCCAATGCTCTCAGTCTGTTAGAATAATGCTTTTCTGCAGCTATTCTGGCATTTTTCTGTAGGAAAAACACAATGGTTATGTGTTATCAAAAGGTATTATATGCACGTCTTTTAATACTTTGTTTATATTAATACTGTTTCATTAATTGCATCTGACAAGTGGAATGATTATTCACTGCAGGTGAGAATAGCAAAACAATACTTGCCTATTTTGCACCAGTTTCCTTTTCTGTACTAGTTTAAATTTGGTTTGCTCCCTGTGCCCACTGGCTAACGAAGAACTGATATATTGTGTAAAGAGCTATTGAGGGAGGAGGGGGAAGATGTGGACATGTAGAAAATCAATTACTCCCAGAGTTTCTCCCTTATCACCTCTCCTCTATCTTCAGGAGTTGCTGCCCTAAAAAAGTAGTATTGATAACCTTACAAGGCTATTTAACAAATTACATAGATGTGTATCTCTGCCTCTGAAACTGAGGGTGTAAGTTCTGTTTCTCCAGGTCATATCTGAGTGAGGACTTGACCTCCAGTCTACACAGATGCTCCTTGCCCTGCAGTGATGGCAGAACTGGAAACCCACGGAGACAGAAGGGAACCAGTGATCTATGATTTGCTGCCTCTCTGGGTTTGGAAATGGGTCAGGGACCACCCTACCACCACATGGGTGTACTAAAATAGGTAGAGAAAAATACTGCACCTAAGCTTACAGTAGACACTAAGAATACTTGAATTTTCTTATTGCTCTTTCCCAACTTAAACCTGTCACATTTTTGCTTCAATTTTGTGTTGTGTTTTAGAGTTAATCATATTGTAACTGAGCTGGACAACATGTTTAGAACAGCCATCTCTGTTTCCTGTGCAAGCAGGCCATGAATACTGAGTCACAAAAATTAGTAATGTTTTACATGGAGAAGGGGCAACAGAGATAAAAATGAACTTCTAAATATGTTTGACTATGACTACGAGTGCCTTGTGCAGTATTTGGAGATAAGATGAATTAATAACAGAAGCAAGATGACCTGAGTGACTCTTTCAAGAAGCAATGGCCTTTGATTTACTCTTTCTTCCATGTCTTGCAACTCCTGCAAATATTCTTGCATTCTCTGCTTCTCATAATTCCTAAGGGAAGCAGAATACAAGACAAATTATTAATTTATAATACAAGATGTAATTTTTCTACAGCAGCTAAAAGTTAAATTGCTCATAACAAACTACATCTTGTCCTACTTAAAAGATACATAAAAAGTAAATTATTTTATGGTGGTTTCAGGGTCTGAGGTATGTTGTCTCATTTTCACAGCAATTGTTTGCCTGAGGTACCAAATGGAACAGCCTCTTCGGATAAGCAGAGAGGTCCTGGCTAGTGAGCTTAACTAGGGGCTGAGTTTGGATTTTTAGGGTTTTTTTGATATCTAAGGGGATTTTTTTAGGTTTGGATAGCTAGGATTTTTTTTAATACTGATTTCATAGAGATATTTTTGTTGTTCTAAGCAAAATTAAATTGTTTGAAATTACTCATAAAATCAGAATACACCATAGGAAATTAGTATAATTTTAAAAATCAGTACTTTACCTTAAAGTTTGGTAAGAATCCTGTTACTTTACCAGTCTGTCTGAGAAGAGGAGTGGACACATTCTGGCTTATAGTACACTTTCTTTTCCTAGTTGGTTTGTCAAAGACCCAGTCAATATAGCAGGATAATGGAACTGTTGATTCATCAACTGACATGACATTACAGATCACAGCAGGCACTAGATAATCCAGGTGGCATGAGCTGTAATCCTTGGTGTGTGACAAAGACCCCTCTTTCTGATGTTGTCTCTGCCCTGGGCCAGCTCTAGCATCACTAAGTCAGACACTTAAGGGGAAGTATGAGAGCTGAGGGGCATTTTACACTTCTGTCTCTTCTGAATTGCTGCAATATGGCTGAGCATTAAGGCAAGTTATTCACCATTTTCAGGGAGTGAACTTAATTGTTGCTACTTGCCTGATCTCTCAGGCCGCTTTCTACAAACCTAATTATCTGTTAGAAAAGCACTTACATTAATATACCTTATTACCCAGCCTGTGCTGAAATAAGCATTATCAAGTTAAGCACTTGTACTAGCCTTAATGCATCAGCACTAGGGAAGTAATCTTGCTTTTTAATAGCATCACTTTATGCGCAGACAAAAATTAAGCATGAGTGTTTTACAATAGTCTTGAAAGCTAAATACTGTAATGTGAAATTTGCTGTTGGATGAACTCAAAATCTGTAAACACACCCACTCTCTCCTCATCCTCCACCTTGCTGCTGTAACTCAAATTGTTTTCTGCTTCTGTCATAGTCAGCAGATCATCTGCCCAAGGACACTTACCTTATGAAGCTTGTGTTATTAACAGTATCTGCTAGTTGTGTTGCAAAAGCAATTGCTCTTGAGCTTTGACTAATAGTTAGGAAGGACTGCCCTCTTTGACCTGCATCTCTACCACTGCATCTCTGCTCTCCAGGACCTTGCATAGGTAAGCCCTTCTTCTCCTAAGACAATTCTGCTCCCTATGTGTGCTGTGGCTTCAGCTGTCTTTAGGGAAGGTGGCAGGTGGGCAGATACATGCTGCAAAATCCTTGCAATGATTCTTCTGGTTTACACTGCTCAGCTACTGCACTTCATGACTGCAATGTGTAAGCACATGCATACTTCAGTTTCTGCTACATTTTCTGGTCACAGTGGAGCCACGCTGTTGGTCAATTACCGTTAAAAAATTTGCTGGTGGAACAATGTGCAGTATTGTCTAGCAAGTGGTGCTGCAAATTTTCTTGTAACAGGGCAGAGTTTATTAAGAATAAATCCTCAGTTCTCTGTTTTAGCTATAAAGAAAAGACCCATGTAAAGCAAAAAATAGAAATTAGAAGACCTTGCTACTGCTCAGCTCCCCACCATAAAGACACCCCACGCCTCCACCTTCATTTCAGAAAGCTCTCTATTCTGGACCATATTCTAAATGTCTTCTAGTTTAGTTTAAAAAAAAAAAAAAAAGTATTTTTACTTTAGTAAAGTAATCTTAAACTTGCTCGTCTAAGCTATGAATCTTGTCATCAGGTATTGGAGGATCATTCACCCTTGCATCATTTTGCCCTGCTACTGTCAGTTACTGGTAATGAGGATTTGTGGTTACTGTCCAGGAATCTGGCCTATGCATGAAGCAACAGGGGCAGAGCAGGCAGCACCTCTCCACCTATCAATACTGCTCCAGTGCCATCAAGCCAGGGCAGATTATAAACCTCACTAAAGACTCATTCAGACTGGACTGATTAATTTTTTTCTAGTATTAAAAAGGAAAGGAAATAGAAATGGTTACATCAGCTACAAAGACAAGGTCAAGCAGCAATTCTGGAGTTAGATCCAGCACCAAGAGAGCTGGAGCTGTGGGACTGCAAGCTTACAACACACTTAGAGGGCCCTGCTGGTTTTCCCTCTGTACCACTTTCTTTCAGTCATATAGAAACAGTCTTTGAATTTTTATTTTTACTAAAGGCAAACTGGAATCCCATTCTTCCTAAACACCAGCAGATCCCTGGTTAGCTGAGGCTATGTGTGATGAATTAAAATAATATTCCTGCCCTAATTTTTCCTCTTAAGTGCTGAACTACTGGAACAAAGAAATGAATTGTGAAATATTTGCTACTTCAGGAGACAGCCAGCACCAAAGCAGTACCAACACCTATCACTCTGAAGTGCAAGGACATTCTGTAATGACACCACTCCTTTTTTTTTCTGAAACTTTTTCTCTTTAGTTGATGCACCAATTGAGAAAACACCAGAGTCTGCTGTTAGCTCATCTACAGTACTCTAAAGTAGAACACGCACATCCAGAATCATTAGAACAGGCAACAGTTTCCAAGTTCAAACACTAAATTTGGCCACTTTTTTAGTAGCTGCTAGTACAGTGTATAATTTATCAAATGTATAATTATGTAAACTTAGACTATGCTATTTTTTACATTGTATGCTTCACATACAATGTAGAATGAGAGGTTCAGGATTCATGGGAATGCAACAAAATACCTGAATGTTTTTAATTTGGATTTAGATACTTGAGCTAGGCTCTGATGTGGGTCATTGGCCTCAGCCCGAGTTGTTACAATTTTCCGAAGTTTTTTCGTTCTTTGTTTCTGTTTTGTTCTGTTCCTTTTTTGTTGTTCTTCCAGTTTTCTCTTTTCCTCAAGTGAATTCCTGGGTGGAAAAATAAACTAAGGCTGAATTCATTTTAAATCAAGAACAAGACTTCCAAGGAAGCTTTGGTAAAGGAAATTCAAAAGAGAAGAACAGGCTGAAAGTAGGGCTGGCATAAGAGGGCACAAAGTATGCTCCATCTTAAGGGATTCAGGCATATCCCAGAAAACAGCAGTCATTTGTCCCTTTTCCTGTGGATGTTGTGAGAAAAATGCACTACTGTTTCTTTAACAACCCTAAATACTAAGTCCTATATTGAAATATGTTAATGTTTAATTATAATTAAGTCCTTATGCATTAATATGTAGTAAGTTCTATATTCACTGCAGGGAAGAAATTATTACATATGCAGAAATACAAAACAGGTCTACTCCTAAAGCATATAAAAAATGTAGAGCATCATTAAAATAGTCACCTTACGGCTTGTAGCCGTCGTCTTGTAGATTCTGTGATTTTGGGCAATTTAGATGCTCCAAAACCTGAGAGATGTGAATTTGCACTTGAATGTCTCATTTGAGGAGTACGTCTTGGAGAGGCATATGGCCAGCGTGTTTCTTTCAGCTTCCGCTCATCCTCCTCAATGTCCTTCAAAATCTTTCCCTTGTTTGAGGGAATATATGGAGTACGAAGATCGAAAGGTTCACAGACTGTAAGGTGTTTCACTTGTTTTTGTTGCAGGAGCTGTTCCTGAAATTTCTGGTGTAGAAGATCAAAATCTGGAACATTTGGTTTGATCTTGGGTTTATGTTCTCTTTCCTTTGGTTCAATGCACTTATGTTTCTCCTTTTTATTGCTAACTTTTAAAGCCAGTCTGCTGTTGGGTAGAGATGAATTACGAAGCATCTCCTCAGCTCTCATTCTGATCCTGATTTCTCTGTAGAGCTCTTCCTCCTTCAGCTTGTCACTAACAGCTGGACTATAAACACATTTAGGAACAGGCCTTGCTTTGAACAGTTTTGTTTTCTTTTCAGGTATGGAAAGGTCTCTTAATTGCATTTTTCTAATTTCACTCCTTTGCTTCTCTCGTTCAGTGAACTTAAATGGCTTCTGAGAAGCCAAGAGCTTGAGTTTGCTTCTCTCTTTCACAGACCTCCTGCGTTCTTCATCTCGTTGCATGATTTCATGGTAGAGCGGAAGGAAAACAGCAGCGGGCACTGGATTGGCTCGGAATTTTTTCTGACACTCAGCTTCTTCCTCTAGTTGCTTTTTCAATAAGTTACTTTCTATTTCCATCAGTGACTTTGATTTGACTTTCAGTTCTTTTTTTCTAGCTTCTCTGATTGTCATCTGGAAAGGCTTGGGCACAGTAACTTTGGGAGACCATGCTTTCTTTTTCTTCTTTTTGATTTTGAAGGCTGGTGAGCTTGGTAAGCTGTGTTTGATGCGGGACATGTAGTCTTCCACAGAGAACCCATCCCACATTTTTTCAATCCTTTGCTTAGCAGATGATCCAGTTTCACTACCATTTTCTTCAAACGGTAATTCTCTCTCAGTCTCATCAGATATACCTGAGCCTAAGGGATCACTTAAGTCAGAGTCGGAAAAGGATTTGTGCAAATTTAGAGGCTGATAGGAGTTCTTCTCCCACGTTGGCCTTTAAAAAAGGGGGAAAAAAAAAAAGGTTGGTTTGAGTCCAGTCCAACATTGATGCAAAGCCAGTAACTTCCACTCTAAGGTATCATCACTAGGAACAAAAATGGTCAACACTGGTAGGAAGAGGAGAGGGGGGACAGACAAGAAAAGAGAAGCACATTAGACACTCACACCAGATCACAGTCAGCACTCATTAAGGAAAGGCACTGTGTTTTACTAAACTATTGCCCAGTCTCTGCTACACACACACTTGTAAATCTCACAGTCCGTCAGCAAGGTTAATTAATTATTTTTATTATTAAAACTAACTTTTCTGTGGTTATCTGCTTCTAGGAAATGGAGAGAGTAGCACTTTCCAGCCCTTGACAAAAAAAATAACAAGCAACCAAACTTGGTTCTTTTACAGATGTTTGCAAAGCATTTGAGAATCTTCAGACAAAAGGTCCCACCAAACTTACCTACAGCTGACACTGGAAGCAGCATTTTCTTTGTTCAAGGGTTGTACCCCTTTTAAATACAGTTTACTCCGATACATCTTTTCTAATTTTGCCATGGTCTCCAAATGGGCATTCTTCAACTCTTCGAGCCTCAAGTAATATTCCTGATTTGAATTGCACATTTTAGAAAAGTCTATCCACTTGTCAGAGTCCCCATTTAGAGAGAGGGTCTGCTCTCTGTTGCTATTTGAATCCAAATCAAAACCATCCTAGAAAAGATGTTTGTAACATTTTCTGTTAGAAGAAAAGGGAATAAGGTTCTTAATATTGCTTTACCCTAATTAAGTCTAATGAATGATACAGTAACAGCAAATAAGAGATACCTGTAGACAAATGTTAATGCAGAATTACATGGAATAATCTCTGGGTTTATTCTACGTGTCTCTTTGTTCTTATTTATGTGATTTCCTCCCAAATTTTTCTCATTTCAATTGATAAACTACATAATTATTGCGTCATTTATATCCTAAAGGTGCAAATTAAAGCATGTAAAATTCCCAAGTCTGTCCCTCTAATCAATATGTTTATATCAGGAAATATGATCAAAGAGACTTATCAAAAGAAAAAAAGTTTTAACTATTTTGTAAAGTGTATTTTTTCTTTGGTAACTACACAGCATTAAAAAACAACTTGCACGTAAAAACAAACAAAACCACAACAGAACCTTCTCTGCCTCTTTTTTCCATAAGCATTCTAAAAATAAAGTCATTGTCTCTGTTGTGCATAAATGTTTATTCCCATTTCCATGACTTAGCAGTGAAAGGGCAGGGATTCTGCACGGCTCACAGCTCCAGGACTGTTTGGCAGCTTGCAGCTGTGTGCAGGGAAGCACGTTCTTTAAGTGTTTTAAAAACTTACACAAATGAGGTAAGTTATTAGAACCAGGTTAGTCTGCATTACAAAGGCTTCCTTTGTGTTCTTTTTAGGCACCATGTTTTAAAAAATTACAGGACTAGTTCCTTTACCCAAAAATGAGTTTAACACGCATTTTAACCAGCTTTGACATTCCAACAGGAAGTCTTGCTCGTGTTCTGTCGGGTTCTCACTGCAGAAATCTCGGGCTCGTTCTGCCCGCGGCACAGCGCTCGGATGCAGCGGGAATCGAGATGCTCAGAGCAGGAAATTTAAAAAGCCGTTGCGGGAAGGCCCCGCGAGAGGCACCACCCAGTCCTTCCTGCATCTGCTGCTTCTGAACGTGGTCCCTAAACCTCCTGCTTCAGTTCTCCGCCGAACACCATCCCAGCCTCCTGCCTGGCCCTGGGCATCGCCAGGGCTTAAATCTGCTCCCCAGACAAGCTCATTACGGGATTGCTGCCGCAGCACCATCTGCCAGGTTTCACACCTATCCCTGCGTGGGCGCTCACAGGTCACTGCCAGGAGGTGCAAAACCCTGCAACGGGCTGTTCGGGGCGGGCGGGCGGTGCTCGCACAGGGGAGCCCATCCCCCGA